GTTTGATCTCAATTTGGAATTGGCTGAGGAAAATCGCCCATTTCACCATCCTTGAGGAGCTAGTGGGGCTCCTCATTAGCGCGCCAAGGGGCTGCTGGGTCAGAATGTGGATGCCATGGGCCTGGAAGTAGTGCCCCAGCTTTTTCACCGTATGGACGATGGTTAGCACCGTCTTCTCAATGGGGGAGTACCTGAGCTCGGCCTGAGTGTTTTGCTGATGTAGAATATGGCCTTCTGCACCCCTTCGTCCTCGCGGATGAGCACGGAGCTGATAGCCGACATGCTCACCCCCAAGTATAAGAAGAGGGTTTCGCCGGCTTTGGGCTTGGAGAGCACTAGTGGGGACAAAAGGTACCTCTTTAGTTCTTCAAATGCTTCATGGCACTCCGTCGTCCACTTGAAGTTGTTTGCTTTGCGCATGATCTGGAAGAAAGGGAGTGACCTCTCGGCTGATTTGGAGAGAAAACGGCTCAAGGCCGCCAGGCGCCTCGTTAGCTGCTGTACCTCCTTGACGTTGCGGGGCGGCTCCATATTGACGATGGCCTATATCTTCTCCGAGTTTATTTCAATGCCTCTTCGGCTGACCATGTAGCCGAGGAACTTGCCGCCTTGGATGCTAAAGGCGCACTTCTTGGGGTTGAGGCGGAGTTTGAACTCCTTCATAATTTCAAAAAATTCCCGGAGGTCGTCGGCATGTGTGGTGTCTCGCTTGCTTTTGACAATCATGTCATCGACGTATGCCTCCATCGTCTAGTCGAGGACCGTCCTGAAGATCTTAGCCACCATTCTGGTATAGGTGGCGCCGGAGTTTTTGAGTCCGAAAGCCATGACAAGGTAGCAAAAAATTCCCTCCGGGGTCATAAAGGCCGTCTTCTCAGCGTCATCTTCATGCATGAAAATATGGTGGTACCCTCTGAAGGCGTCAAGGAACGACATCAACTCGCATCCCGCCATCTCATCCACAGATTGATCAATGTTGGGGAGAGGGAACGGGTCCATGGGGCATGCCTTGTTCAGGTCAGTGTAATCAACACACATTCTGAATGTCGGCGGTTTTTGGGCGAGGACGACGTTGGCTAGCCACGTCGGGTACTTCACCTCCTTGATGTGGTTGATTGAGAGGAGCATGGTGACCTCCCTCTTGACGAAGTCCCGCCTGTCGGAGGACAAGTAGCGTCGCTTCTGCTTGACAGGTGCGGAGGCCGGATCGACGGTCAGCCGGTGGGTGATCACCTTCCGGTTGATGCCTGGCATGTCGTCCGGGCCCCACACGAAGATGATGGCGTATGACCGTAGGACGAGGAGGATGGCGTCTCGCTGGTCCTGCGGGAGTTGCTTCCCGATTTTGAAGACCCGCTCCGGCCGAGAGGTATCCAGGGGGACCTTCTCGACCTCTTCGGCTAGTTCAGCATGCGGTCTCTCCTCGTCCTTGGCAACGGTCGCCGTGATGGTGTCTATTCTTTGTCCTTCCCTTTCGGCCGGCCTCGTTAGCTTGAGGTAGCATGCCCTGGCTATCCTCTGGTTTCCTCTGGCGTAGCCGATGCCGCCACTGGTGGGGAACTTCAAGCATAAGTGCTTCATAGAGATGATGGCCTCCAGGTCCTCCAGTGCTGGCTGCCCCCAAATCAGGTTGTGGGCGCACTGGAGGTTGACCACCATGAACTCCATGTTAATTTTGGCGCGATGGGAGCCGTCGCCGACCTCCACGGGGAGGACTATCGTGCCTTCGGCATCGATAGAGTCCTCGGTGAAACCGGACAACGGTGTCTTGATCGGCTTCAGCAGAGCTTTGTCCAGTTTCAGCTGCTTGAAAGTGTCCAGGTACATCACGTTGACGGAACTCCCCATATCGATGTAAGTGCGGTGGATGATGGAATTACCGATCTCACACCGGATGACGAGGGCATCCCTGTGTGACCCCGTACCTGGAGGCAGATCCTTGTCGGTGAAGGTGATCGCCTCCGTTTGTAGCTTCTTCGGCTGGGGGGGGGGGGGAACGTGGGACACCTCCCCAATGTAAAGGGATTGGGCCCATTTCTTCCTTTGGGTGACGGAGTCACCCCCGGTGTTCCCACCTACGATGAGGTGAATGTGGTTCTTCTTTGGTGGAGGCTCCTCAAAGTCTTCGTCGTCGCTAAGCCTACCGATCTCCCGCTTCTTCGTAGAGGATTCGCCCCCAGATTTGTCGGTGTTTACCCACGTATTTTTACGCGTGCCACCTTTAACAAATTGGGAGAGTTCCCCCTGACGAATTAGGCGCTCGATGGCTTTCTTCAGCGTGATGCAGTCGTCGGTGTTGTGTGAGGCGTTTTGTGGAACCGGCAGTAGGTGCCGCCTTGCTGGATGGCTTGGACTTCCTCCGTCGGCCGAGGAGCTTGTTCAATGAGGTCGTGCTTCTCGGCATAGTCGAGGATGGTGCTAACCGGGTGTGTGAGGGGGACCCCCGACCGTTCCAACCTCGGCCGCCAATGGCGGTCTTCCTTGCTTTGTCCACCAGAGCCGTGACGGCCCTGGGCACCCTGGCCGGCGGGGGATGCTCCCGGGGCCGGTGAAGGATTTGTCTTCTTGGAGGGATGGCCTCCGTCCTTCTTGTGGTTGTGGAGCTCGTCGGCATCGGTGTACAAACTCCCGCGCTGAAGCGCCTTTGCATACGACCTCGGAGGGTCGGTGATGAGGCTCCTGGCATATGGGGAGCTGCAGAGGGCTCCCTGGTAGAGGACGAGGAGGGTACGCTCATCGGCCCCCTCGACCTCTTCGGTCTCCCTCGTCCACCGTTCAATGAATGACCGGAGGGGTTCGTCATGTTGCTGCTTGACGGAGAGGAGATGGGTGAAGTACTTCTTCGCACGCTTCCTCCCAGCAAAGTGGGTGAGGAAGCGCTGGGCAAGGTCCTGCCATGAGTCTATACTTCCTTCGGGAAGCACGTTGAACTACTCGTACGCCGGCCCCTCAAGAGTGGAGAGGAACCATCGGCAGAGGTATTCATCCGACGCGTTCACCATCAGCATGTTGTTCTGGTAGCGGCTGAAGTGCTCCTGGGGGTCTGATCGGCCGTCATAGGACTTGATGGCGTTTCCCCTATACTTCTCCTGGATGGGAGCCGAGAGCACCCTGTTAGTGAAGGGAGTCCTGGTCCTGACCTGGATGACGGGGTCGCCTCGTCCTTCGGCCAATTCCCTCTCAAGGGCGCTGACCTTGTTCATGAGTGCATTGAGGACGGGATCGTTGGAGGTGCCGGCCGTGGGAATGTTCGCCGACTGCCTGGCCTCCATCTGGGCCAGTCTCCTTTCCGGCTGGGCGATAACCTCGTCTCGAGGGTCCCTGGCGGCCGCAGTGGCGCCCTGTTGGTTCTGCATGCGCACCTCGTGGGCCGCGTTGATCTGGTGGCGCACGTCGTTCTCGTGCAGCTTTCCTTTGCCTTTGTTCAGGTGGGGCTGATCCGCTGTCCGGGACAGAGACCCCAGGCTTTCCCTTGGCGAGCCAGGCCGACGCTCGCCAATCCGTCCCGCCATCCTCTCAGAAACCGGACGACGACGCGTGTCACCCAGCCTATTGAAGGCAGAGGCTTTTCCACGCGCTGGGGTCGGTCCGGGCCGAAGAGGGGAAGCATGTGGGAGTGGGACGACGTCGTGTCCTGGGCTATCACCCCCTCATCGTTGCCTAGCTTGACGGCCAACGGTTGAGGCTGAGGAGGTGGAGTGATGTTCCCCCCAATCCTTGGCATGAGTGCGCTGAGGACGGTGGGGTTCTGAGCCAAGCTGGCGATGATGACCGATAGTGCGGCCTGAACCTGTGGGTCAACAGATGGAGAGGCCGTGACCAATGGTTGGGCCGGGGCATTGTCTGCCTTCTCTGCGCGCTTCTTATCCAGGCCGATGCGGGCATCAGGGATGCCGCCGTTGAGCTTGTTGCGCAGGTCCGTCGTGAGGTTGATAGCCTCCTGGAAGACGTCCCCTCCTCCGACCTGGTCGGCCGTGGCCTCCTCCTCACGCTCCCTGTTCTCCTGATCCTCAGGGATGGCCTTGCTGACGAGGTTGCGATTTGACTTAGTTCTTCCCATGATCAGTGGTTAGCTGTGCTTGGTAGCGACGAAGGATGCTAACTTGATTGTTCTAGCTCTCAACGAGAGCACCAAATGATAGAGTATATATCTAGAGAGAAGGGAGAGCTAGAGAGAGAAGTTCTATATTTGTTCTGTACTAATGAATTCGTGAACCCCTACAACTACTCCCAGAGGTAGTATTTATAGGGAAAATTAGGGCTGGACTCCCAAGTCTTGGGCTTGGGAGGCCCATTCACAATAGGGCCACTATTGGGCCGAGTACAAGAGATGTAGAAATAATTAAGTACAAGATCCTATTCTGGGGGCCGCTCGTGGCCGATGAGGGCACGGCCGACGAGGACCCAGCCGACGAGGTCGACCGGTTCTCCTGACTCCTGGACCGTATTCTGAGTAGACTGCTTTCTGGCTGATGGAGGTCATCTGGCCGACGAGGGGCCCGCCAGGTGGTCATGGTACCCTTTGTTCTTCCGAGTATGTGGGCCATGGGGTCCAGGCCCATATACTCCATCAATTACATTAGACTCGCATATTGAAATTAATAAGAGTGGATTATAGATATAATTTAATAAATTTTTATAAATGAAAAAACAAGAAAAAGAAAAAGAATTAGAAAATATGAATCAGAGATCGCGATACTCATTATTAGCCTCTTAATACTCAATAAAATAGTTCAGATACTCATTTACAGTACAATGCTCATTTAGCGGGAGCCGTGATTTTTCCCTTAAACTACAAAAATGACACCGAAAAAAATTAGACTATATCAATTAAATGAGTTGTCTTTCTTAATTAATTAGGCCTTTTTTTATGGACATTCCTCAGATTCATTAACCATCTGAAAGAGGAAACAACTCTTTCGATTTGAGCACACGAAGATGTTGTCACAAATGAAGATGTTTTTTTTACAAATTTACTGGATTGGATTTCATTTACTGGATGGACCGTGGATGATAACTGCGCCATCTACAATCTATTTTTGGAGTCCCCCCCCATAAAGAGCTTCCGGTTTACGAACGACAATCCGCGTTCTTCTCGCATCAAAGCCCGACTGCCGGTATGCCGCCGGCCGATCAGAGACCGGACGACAAATCACCCGACTCAGCTCAAGAACAATGCACATGCCCATCACCGGCCGAAGAACGCGACGGCACTTGCCGGCATTGCAACCGTCCGCGCTCAAGCCTCCCTTCTTCGGCTTCCTCTTGCTCTCTCCTCAGTTTGGAGTCGTACCCTGTCCAGGACTACGATAAGCTGTGGAGGGTGTACACTGCCTCAGTCAAAGGCTTCATCATCGGCGCTGGCATCAAAGGCGGCCTCGCTCTCTTCTCCGTTCTTGCTCGCCTCCGCCGCCGGCGATCCTTGCCTTACGCAAAGTAAATTATATGCATCCTTTTAAGATACCTGATCGGCGCTGATTTTACCCAGATATGTGTTTTTCATGTATGTTGATGCAGTCTGTTACTTGTTTGATGTTCTGTTTAGGAAAGCGCTAATGGCTTCCGGCAGCCAAGATGTGATTTTGGCAGTGAAAGAAACTCTCAGATACGGACTATTTCTTGGCACTTTTGCTGGTACATTTGTTTCAGTTGATGAGATTATTTCTGCTCTGGGTGGTCACCGTAGGTAGTAGTGCTTGATTTTATTTCTCACTCATGGAACTATTCCATCTCTTTTGAGTTGGTGAAATTATTTAAGGAGGATTGATTGTTCACTGCAGTTTTTTGTCATTCCTAATAACGATTTCAGGACAGCAAAATGGAGATCTTTGCTAGCAGGAGCAATAGCAGGACCTTCGATGCTACTCACAGGTTTGGATAACCAACATACAAGCTTGGCGATTTACATCCTTATGCGAGCTGCTGTTTTGGCCTCACGATGCGGAATAAAAAGTGAAAGATTTGGGAGTGTCTGTAAGCCACTAACTTGGGCACACGGGGACATTTTTCTGATGTGCCTATCCTCTTCACAAATTCTGTAAGTATATCTAATGGTATCCAACTTATATTAGTTTTAAGGCTACTTGCTTAAGGGATTGTTTGCATTCTATGACATCATAGAATGTAAAAGGGTTAATACTCTTAACACGTTAAATATTTTTCGGTGTCGATTTGTGCAAGTACGTTTGTTTGTCTGCTGTCAGTGCACTAACTGGGGATGTTGAACATCGATATGCCATGAACATGTCTTTTAAATTAAGCACTCCTAGGTTCAAGCTATGAAACTGAATGTTCTCTTATAGTCTATCAGTCCAAGGATGCCTGGTACACAGAGAAATAATATCCTGTCCTCTCAGCGATCAGTAATATTCTCAATATATGAGTAAATTTCTGCAAGACTTCACACTTAAAAGTGCTTTTACAGTTTTATCCATCTGAGAATGTTTTTAACCATGTCTAGGAACAAAGCAACAATCACTCATATGCATCACTTGGTTATCTTTTTTTGAGAGATCCTAGATTCTCATGGAAGTACCAAAAAGTTCAACTGCATCTTGACCCATCTTACAAATATGATGTACTCTGCTTCTACTGATATATTGATAATGCTTTGTACTTTCAGATGGTTTTGGATGTCTTATTCTCTTTTTCATTTGTACTCTGTTTTGTGTTTGAAAAATATTTTATGAAACTAAGAAATCACTATATTTCAGGTCAGCTTATATATTAAAGCAAGAGAGTCTGCCTCAATCTTACAAGTCTTTTCTCAATAAACATGGAGGAAAAGACCTTGTTATATTAAATGGCGTGAAAGACCTTGCACGTGGCAAGTCTGTAACAAATTTGCATGTCATAGAGAAGTATTACAAATCTACTGGTCTAGACATCAAACTTGATCCTCAGATGAAAGTTCCTTGCTCGGTATGTGTGGAGAATTCAAGTTTACCGTCTTTCCTTAATTGGACAATGTTTCATGAATGCGTACTTCTGTGAGCGTTTTATATCAGATAGTAAAAGACTAGCGACTCGAGACAATGTAGTAAGTTTATTATTCGAAAAAAGAGAATAAAATAACTTCAACTAAACCCTCTAAGAGCCCTCAAAGGCACTCTCCCCTGGCCAGCCAAATGTTCTTTCCTCATCAAAGCTGCTAGTTACCATAAAACTACGTTTTGCCTCTCTTCTCTGAAAGGGAGTTTTTTTGTAGTAGAATATAACCTATAGTAGGGTGAGAAATATATTGCATATCACTCAACACGCTAAGTTGTTAATCAATTAACCTTGCTAATTGATTCCTAGACTCTAATGAGAAATCCATATTTTCTCTCAGGCTTGTAATTAGTTTTCTAGACTCCTACTTTCCTTCACTTCAGAATGGGTTGCTATCATGCACACACACATAATTATTTATTTCCTTCCAGTGAGTCAGTGACTCAAAAGTTTAGGCGGTTTAGGGTCACATACTCACATCCTTTTCTTGCGGTGGAAATATTGAAATTTGAAAGTTATCTCATATTAATGAAATACTTTTCATGCCATCACAAAAGAAAATAGCTTATAAGAATAGTCGAACAATCTATTTTGTACAGATAATTGAAGTATAGGCTCATTGTCATCTCAATATCTTAACTTTTGATAAAGAAGCACCGAGCACATGAACTATAGTTCCCAAAGTCTAGTGTTTTCTTCCAAGATAATTTACCAATGCTGCAGATGTAGCATAATGCTATTAGATATAATGGTCTATGCTATGATTAAATGCAGAATAGTAATTTATCTTCTGGCATCTAATAACATATTCTTTGCACATTGCTCTTTTATTTACCAGTATAGCTGTGTTTGTGTGAAATAATGGGCCAGTAACTGCTATTTGGAAACATGCATGGTAATGATTCTTTGAGTTTGGACATCTATACAAACATTCTCCATTTTAAGTCATGCCAATACCCAGGTCTGCTCTCATATGTACATTGCAGATTTGTGAGAAAATCTCATCTTTACGCAGATGGTGCATGGAAATCAAACATGTGGAGCGCATTTTTTAAACTTCCTAATTCAAGCCTATAAGAGAGCTTTGCCTGTCTACCTTCCAGTTTATTTAATTCCTGCTTTGATAGTGCATCGGCAAGGTCTCTTGAAAAGGTTATCTTTTTACAATCTTCTTTATAGTTTGTCATTTTCCATCTTACCCTAATTTGTGCTTTATTCCATATTAATTTTATTGAGTTGTGGGTTTGTGGCACTTCCAGTTTTCAAAACTTTGCTCTATAAGGGATTTTGTGTGAAGGGGTTGTAGAATCATTTTTGCATTACTTGTCAGTAATATGAAAACTGGTGTGAATTGAAGTTATCTAATTCAGTATGCTTAACCAGAAACTACTTAATTATTGCCAATAAGTTATGTTTATTCTTTTTACTTTTGCTCTCTTTTATGTTCAAGTGTGAAAAGCTGCTATGGTAACGAGAAAAATGTTTCTTTCATAAATCTATGATTTTTATCTCTTATATTTATCATTTTTAGTGTGCTTATATTTTCATCTGAAGAATCTCCAGGCTTCATCAAAATGAACTTTTCTGGAATAGCCTTTTTTAGTTATAACTCTGATTCATGATTTATGACCTTTTGTCTCCATATCTTATCAGGCCATATACAATTTTGTGGAAGGGTATTTTTGGGACAGCAAGATCTAGTTTGTTTCTATCTGTATATTGTGCGTCTGCTTGGTAAGCAATTACTTTGGTATTTTGATTTTACATGACTTTCCATAGTCACATGTCACTAGTGCTTCCCAATGTTATAAATGTTGATTGGTAGTGTTTTTTTCTTTTATTTCATATTTAAAAATATACTTAATGTTAGAGTTTAGGCTTCTTGTCATTCTGTAAATGAAGTGAATGTCTAAACTAAGAATCTATGATTAACAAACACTGTTGAGTGTTGACTCTTAGCCCTTGTTTGGTTCTAAAGAGGGGTTGGGAGGGGACTGGTGGAAAAGAAACAAACAACATCCAAGCCTTAGTCCCAAAAGATATTGGGGTCGGCTAACATGAATCGATACATGATATCACAACCAAAAGGAAAAGAAGGAATAAAGATAAAAAGATAAGCTATTATGAAAAGATAATATAAAAAAGATGAATATATATATAAATGATAAAATAAAAAGGTTGCAAATAATGCTTATAAATATATATATATATATATAAGGATAAAAAAAACTACGAAAAAAAAAGATGAGGGAAAAAAATTATCAAGATCACTCCTTCACGTGAATACCCGCCCTCCACTTAGTTCTCTCCAAAGTCATGCCCTCATCCAACCCCAGAAAAAGCATATCACTTCGAACTCCCCTAACCCACGTCTGTTTGGGTCTTCCTCTCCCTCTCTTCCCTGCCTCTTGTCCACACATCTCAACTCGCCTAACAGGTGCATCACTCGGTCTTCTACGCACATGACCAAACCACCGTAGACGCGACTCCCGCATCTTGTCTTCAATAGGTGCTACTCCCACCCTTTGTCTGATTGTCTCATTCCTCACGCGGTCCTTCCTAGTATGCCCACACATCCAACGCAGCATGCGCATCTCTGTCACACTCATCTTATGAATGTGACATTGTTTCACCGCCCAACACTCTACGCCATACAGTAATGCAGGCCTAATTGCTGTCCTATAAAATTTACCCTTCAGTCTAGTCGGCATACCTCGGTCGCATAGAAATCCTGACGCACTCTTCCACTTCATCCACCCTGTTCTGATTCTATGGGATACATCTCCATCTAACTCACCGTCCTTCTGAATTATGGAGCCCAAGTAACGGAACATATCGCTGACCGGTATCTCCTTACCATCCAGAGTAATTCCGCTATTACCACTACTTCTACCTCCACCAAACTTGCACTCCATGTACTCTGTCTTGCTCCGACTTAGTTTGAAACCCTTATTCTCCAATGTTTGTCGCCATACTTCCAACTTTGCTTTAAGACCTGATTGCGTCTCATCAATCAATACAATATCGTCGGCAAACATCATGCACCACGGTATATCGTCTTGAATTGACTTCGTAAGTTCATCCATGACTATGGCAAATAAGAAAGGACTCAAGGCCGATCCTTGGTGCACTCCGATAGTAATAGGGAACTCTTCAGTCCTCCCTACACTAGTACGAACACTTGTAGTACAATCCTCATACATATCCATGATGATGCTGATATACTTGCGTGATATGCCTTTCCTAGTTAAGGCCCACCAAAGAACTTCTCGAGGTACCCTATCATATGCCTTTTCTAAGTCAATGAACACTAAATGCAGATCCTTATGAGCATCTCTATACTTCTCCATAAGTTGTCGAAGAAGGTGAATGGCCTCAGTTGTTGAGCGACCAGGCATAAAACCGAATTGATTTTCTGAAATCTTCACAGTCCTTCGAAGTCTTTGCTCAATCACTCGCTCCCAAAGTTTCATGGTGTGACTCATAAGCTTAATCCCTCGATAGTTGGCACATTCTTGTACATCACCTTTATTCTTAAATAAGGGGATAAGAGTACTCTTCCTCCAACTCGTTGGCATCTTGTTGTTTCTCCAAATCATGTTGAAGAAACTTGTTAACCACTCGACGCCTCTCTCTCCCAAACTTCTCCAAGCCTCGATCGGTATGCCATCTGGCCCCATTGCTCTTTTCCGTCCCATCTTCCTCAGAGCTTCTTTAACTTCCGTTGTTTGGATCCTTCTCACAAAATCACGGTTTACCATACAATCTGGTATGGACAAATCGCCGATATCTTGCGTTTTGTTCCCGTTGAATAGTGTATCAAAGTATGACCTCCACCTTTCTTTTATCTCTCTGTCGTCCATTAATATCCTCTGATCAACATCCTTCACACACTTAACTTTTGCAATATCTTGAGTTCTGCGATCACGAAGACGAGCAAGTCTATAAATATCTAGTTCTCCTTCCTTAGAGTCCAACTTTTCATACAACTCCTTGTTCACTTTCCCTCGTGCTTCCCTTACGGCTTTCTTTGCTTGTCTTTTAGCCTCCCTGTATGCTTCTATGTTCTCATCACTCCAATTTGTCCCCAACTTTTTGTAGCAATCTCTTTTGTTCCTTATGGATTGTTTCACCTCATCATTCCACCAAGATGTGTCCTTTTTAGGTGGCCGACATCCTTTAGATTCTCCAAGTACCTCCTTTGCCACTTTGTTAATGGTCAACTCCATTGATAACCACACATCATCCACATGTGTTTCATTATCAATACGCCATACATCTTCACCGACCATTTTGTGTGTAAAGCTTTGTTGAAGATCTCCCTCAAGCCTCCACCACTTTATCTTTGGTTCCACTTGTTGTTTAACTTGTCTTCTATGGTTCTTACCTCGAAAGTCAAGCACAAGCATCCTATGCTGAGTGACAACACTCTCACCTGGAATAATCTTACAATCAGTGTAGCTAGTTCTCCAAGTGGTCCGTACTAAGAAGTAGTCAATTTGGGTACTATTAGCTCCACTTTTATAGGTTACAAGGTGAGAGTCTCTTTTCTTAAACCAAGTGTTCATTATAGCCAACTCATACGTCAAGGCAAAATCCAAAATGTTCTTTCCCGCCTCATTCCTAGTGCCAAAACCATGTCCGCCATGGAAAAGAAAGTGGAAAAAAAAATTATTATGCCGTTTAAGGTGTGGGGATAAATGTAGGACGGTTTTGGTTTGAAAAAAGAGAGAAAAAACAACTCCCCCAAATAAGAGACTGAGTTATGGTGAATCTGGAGGATTTTAACGGAGAGCCCCGTGTGCTGAGTGATGCGCTACACTCTCTTTACTTAACAAACCTCTCCTCAGGCGGTATTCGAACACAAGTCGATTTCTGGGAGTTAAGGTTTACGTTTTACAAGCCAAGTTCACTACTTAGGCAAGTATGTCGGGAATGCTATCTTGTATTACATGTTTAAGCTGAAAGCATTTACTATTGATTTCTAACTAATAATCATGAAAAATAATTAGTATTGGTATTATTATACCGCCCAACTATGTGAAACCATATTCTACATAAGCGTTATGTTCATTAGGGTTTTCATCCCAAATGCATTTTGAGTTTTGTTAAAACTGTATAATTTGGAATACTATTTGCGTTTCTGTGCTTATTATATACGAAGTATTATCTTTATAAATTGTGAATGACAGTAATTTTCCCTTTACATCTTTAGAATCATATATAATTATACATATTTCATTGTTCTATTTTTTAGTCACTATTGACCAGGTTGACCCTTGACCCGGTCTTTTTTTTTACTCCGGGCCCCCCTAGAGTAATCAGGGCTGAAACTCACTCCATTGAGTTTCAAACCCTTATGTGCCTAGTGGGTTTCGAACTCGAGACCTCCCACTAGGCACGATAACCTCACAACCAGCTGGGCTGGAATGCCTGGTTACCCTTGACCCAGTCACTTGTCCCGTTGTTCGGGTTGACCTCTGGTCTGGTTTTGACAACATAGGAATTTTGATGGAAAAATATTTTTTTTGCATTATAAGAAAATGGTGTTTTGACACAATAAGAGTTTACATTAAAAGGAATCAGATGATAAATTCATATAGTTTCATTGCAGTAGTCATTTATTTATTGCTATTTTACATTGTTTTTTAAATTCACTCACAAACTTACCATTCAAGATTGCATTCAAGAAAAGTTATACCCTGTATAATCTAGATATAAGACATAGAGTATATTACTATATTTATTTGGACTCACTCAAATTCATCATTGTTGTCTTTTCTTAGGCTCTGGACCTGCATCCTTTTTAGGATTTTACAGAGATGTAACATACCTATGGTTGCAGCAGGAACGGTATTGATTTATAAACGTTAATATTACGTTATTATTATTATTATTCTATTACTCATGTTTATTGTTATATACATATATATTTAACCTTTAAAAAAAATACTGATATTTATTACTATACTCTGAAGTATTAGTTTTGTTTACTGTTGTTTGGGTTACTGGGCAGTTTCCGACAGGGTTGGCCTTGGGAATTGAGAAGAAGAGCCGGCGGATAGAGATCTCACTCTATTGCCTGGCACGGGCTATCGAAAGCTTCTTCACAACGATGGCGGATGCGGGGTACTTGCCTCGAGGGGCTAAGAATTTAAAGAGAGCAGACGTGGTGATTTTTAGCATTTCAACAGCAATAATAATGCATTGCTATGCCATAGAACGGGACGTCTTCAAATCCAAATACTTGAATGTTCTTGATTGGGTTTTTGGCGTGCCTCTTCCCCCGTACGAGACAACTCCTCGAAAGAAGAAAAATGTGTGAAGCGTTTAGGCATTTTTTATCAAGTTCGACTTAAGTTTTCTCTCGCAAATATACCGAACATGTTAATGTGTTCCTTATGGAGCTTGTTGCTATTGTGTACGGGCTCGTTGCAAAACCATAGAACTGGGCCCCATTTTCACGAGAGCTCGTCCAATGCAATAATATGTTCCATGAGGAACACCTTAACGTTCTCAATATATTTTCTGTGTTAGCTTATAAGGATAATTTGGTCAAAAGTAAGTTGTGCCATTGTGTGATGATATGATAGGATACAGTTAACATGACCTTCCGAAAAAGGGGTAAAAATTGTACAATAATACAAGTATATGGTTTCACAACACTGTCTTTAGAAGCTGGCATCTGTGGCTTATTAAGGTTGTGTTTTTTACGAAGTATATCTAGACTCTTCACTAAATAATACCACGTAGTTGTAATACTCTCTGAGTCTCTGTACTACGTATGAAGTAGAACATTTTGTTATTTATAATATGGAGTAATCATTATTTGATATTAATATTTTACTTTTCATGTACATTTTTATCTTATACAGAAGATTAAAATACTTTAATTTTGGGAGTATATGTTTAATTTTCACATCTTGCGTTCAGTTATTTGAAAATAGTTGAATAACACGTGTGTTATCTAAGGTATTGTTTAATTAGATTAATACATATTTCTTATCCCAAAAAAATGTGTGATAACAAATAAAACTAACTAACATATTGATGGATTTTTAGGATCCAAACATATATAAAATGGCGAGATTGAGCTCAAGAGAGGGAAGAAGATGATGAATAGTAGAATATTTGTATGGAGTATGAATTAAGAACTAGGGTTACAAGTCTCCCAAAAGGAGTATAAATAGACAAATAATGGGCCGGGCCGCTAATATGGGCCCGATAGGTCCAACTACATAAAAGACTAATCTAGTACATACAAATGATATATGAACTCTACAATAATACAAATGCTATAAATGACGTCGGATAAGCGTGAGTGGGCCGCTGTCTGGGCCCAATAGTCGTGAGACCCGGGGGTTCGAGTCTATATACTCTATCAGGAGTCCCCCACTCCCTGAGTCGAGAGTACTCGAGGCAAAAGGGAGTAGAACTGTGTGCTGATTTGTCGTCGTCTGGTGAGTAAACTTCGTGAAAAAATTTGAGGCGCCAAGTCCCCCGCTCTTCCAGTCCCCCACTTCTTGAGGTGAATGTAGTAAGGTGAAGAGGAGTAGAGTAGTGCATGTCTCGTGATGTCTTCAATAGGGATCGAGGGTCGACACCTTTTGTCCACGTTGGGGAGATGCCTCGTTAAAAACCTCATTAAGAAAAAACCCGGTGGGAAAAAATCCTAATGAGGGAAAAAGAGTACACTGGATGCCCCCAAAACGAAGCAAAAGGGGTGAGCCCTTCGGCCTAGGTGTGGAACTGCAACCATCAGCATCTTCTAAAGGGATGACCAAGATCGGTCCTCGTATGTGCGTAGCTCGGAATGATATGTAGTCCTAGTCATCAAATAAAGATGACTAAGAGATAGGTCGAGTGACCATCCATAATATGATGTCCAGGTCATCAAATAAAGTGACAGAGACATGTGTCCGAGAGGCCTATAAGAAGTCCAAGCCATCGAATAAAGATGACCAGGAGAGACCGCCAAGTGGCCGATATGATGTCATCATTTAGTTGCACCTATGCATTCAAATAAAATTGTTATAGTTTCTTGAGCTTCTAATTCGCTATTGGATTTGAGCCTAAATTAAGTTGCCTCAGATTTCCAAGCTGCAGCTCAAGCTAGGTTTCAATGCTTAGTTGGAGCGTGGCACGCATAAAGGACCGAACCTACCGCTGAGGGATTGCAGTTCATTTCCGATAGCTAGAGGCACACATAACTCATACAAAACATAGAAACTAAAGTATGCATTTGATAACATTTGGATTGGAAGCTTACTATCCACACTCGTTTGACGTGACCCGGTAGCGCGAGTGTGTGTGCTCGCCCGGTGTACGCGAATGCTCGGAATTCATAAGTCCATTTTTTCAATGTCAAAGAATACACACTTTTTAAAAAATAATGATAGTAAATTAATAATCTAGCTCAACTTGTCACTCAAGTTCGTAGCTGGGATCCACTAGACGCTATTTACGGGTCTTTTCACGGATGACTCGTCTCTCGAGATTGAAGTTTGATGCTATATTATTAAAATATTTCATTTATCATTTTTTTTGTAATAATTTTTTTATCAAATATGTTCACAGATTAATGGTATGGAGATAATTTAAGAATACTTAGCTTTTGGAACTGGGCTGAAAATTGGTTGTGTTGCTGAAATTGGCCCGTTGTAGAGCTGGATTGGAGCAAAAGGTGGTCCAGCCCACCTTTTACCCAAAACATGCTTGGGCTTTTACCCCTGCATTGTACGTCCGAACTCCTAACCAGGTCACCAAACTTGGGATCTACTGCCGCCGGCAATGGAGGCTCAAGAGAGAGACGACTCCCGGTCGACGAGGCTGGAGGAAAGGAGACGTGGTCCTCTGAGAAGAACCAAGTTAACATGATCGGTACGCAGTACTCTCTGTCTAAGGAAAGAACTTTCGGAACATCGGCTCACCATCCCAAGGGTAATCTGCCTGCATCGGCTACTTTACCGAGGGAGGTACAAGCAGTTGCAGCGGAGCAAGGATGGCCACAGGGTCCGGTTTCGTGGGAGACCTGCCAAGCTTCGAATCTACCTTCGCTGAGCTCCAACCCGCCATCAATGACGGAAATCTAGGAGGTCCCACTCCGCAGCGAAGTGCGGAGTTGAGCAGTGGCTGTAGGTGCTAAGAGGGAGATGGGGGAGCAAACCTCGAGCGGCCACCGGAGCCCTTGTGATGGAGGTGGAGGGAAGAGTTGTGACCTGCGAGAAACGACCGCCGTGGGCCATCACTCTGAGTCCGCCGGCCACCATGGCTATCCTCTTACTAAACAGTACGTGAACCGATAGCAGCTGCAGCGAGTTCCAGAGAGCAGTGAGCTCTGGTTGATGACAGCTACCATGGACGGTGAAAGCAGCTTCCGTTAGATCTGGCCAAACTTCAGAGATCCCAGACCAGTCCTTTCCTCGTTCTTGCTGAAGTTCCAGATCTCCCCAAATCATTTTGTTGTTGTTGTTGTTGTTGCTGAAAATCAGTTCTTCGTCCCAAATTTCAACAGGTGCCCTGACAGATGGCGGATGGGGCGCGGCAGTGCTCGACGGCCTAGATATTTCATTTCCTGATTTTTTTGCTGTTCTTGACATTTTTGGTTGATTTCCTGTGATTCGAATGAATTTCTTGATGTTTGTGGAGAGGAATCTCACTTGATTTGCTCAAAACTCTCAATGAAAGCACCATTGATGGAGCATTGGGATCCAAACTATGTAATAAATGGAGAGATTGAGCTCAAGAGAGGGAAGAAGATGATGAATAGTAGAATATTTGTATGGAGTATGAATTAAGAACTAGGGTTACAAGTCTCCCAAAAGGAGTATAAATAGACAAATAATGGGTCGGGCCGCTAATATGGGCCCGATAGGCCCAACTACATAAAAGACTAATCTAGTACATACAAATGATATATGAACTCTACAATAATACAAATGCTATAAATGACGTCGAATAAGCGTGAGTGGGCCGCTGTCCGGGCCCAATAGTCGTGAGACCCGGGGGTCCGAGTCTATATACTCTATCACATATATTATCACAATAAAATATCATTGTCGTGCAACAAATAACAAAATTGTAAATAATATTACAGAATGTCAATATAGTGTTTCTTAATTAAACTATAAATATCACATATTAATATCTTATATATACACACATATATGTATCATAATAGTTCTAGCATCAAACACTATCTTTCTAGAATTATGAATATGAACCAAACAAAATATTATACTTAATGGTTAATAAACAAAGCAACACATAAAATTTCGGGTTAGGGTTTTAGAGGTGAAAGCAAAACCAAATCAAACGATTACAATTTGATTAGGTTTTTAGTTCAAATCAGTTTTGATTTTCTTGCGATTTGGTTTATTTTGCATACGATTCGGTTTTGGCAATTAGGTTTTCGGTTCCACCTACCCACCCCTATGTTAAACTTATATGAGCTAAAACTTGGTTTTGGAGATCTCCATTTATAATATAGGAAGCATCATTTAAAACTTTGCCTACTTCTTAATTTATTTTGTATTTACTTACTTTGACGTCGTTATTTCTTTTTAATGGGAAACCATTTGATTATAATATATGTGTTGAAGTTTATTCTTTCAACCTAAAGACCCAACACATTCCAATGAATTTCGAGTGGAGAGTTTTTATGGATGTATGATGCAAGAAAGATGGGTCAATAACAAGAGTAGTAAGTGAGCCGTATCTTATTAAATGATAATAAGAGTCCGTATACAACACACCTCAACTAACCGAGAGGCCGTTCATCTATCTTAGTGCCACTACAAAAAAATTCGCATGTAGTCAAGGATTTAGTCATGGACCGTAGTGTAAAAATTCCGTGACTAACTATGTTAGTCACGGATTGTGTCCGTGACTAAAGCCGTGACTAATCTTGCGTGATTATATCTAGTCACTAAACTTTATCCGTGACTAAATGTAGTCACGGTTTAGTCATGGACCAGGTCCGTGACTAATTCTTGATCGGAATAAATGCTCCGGCACGTTAGTCACGGATCAGATCCCTGACTATGTTTTATTTAAGCCGGGTGTTCAAGTGCGAATGCAATAAACTCCTCAACTCCTTCAAGAAAATTTGATTGCATTCCGTACAATACCACATGTTTATCATACATCCAAATTCTATTTTGTCTATACATTATGCCTGAATATTGTAATAAAAAAATTATACAGGTTAAAAACTCTAAATTATAAACATTACCAACATATGTGGAGTATTATTAATATATTAAATTTCACTAATTAAAGTTCAATGCAATTAATTCACTAGATGAACTAATATGTTCATATAATGTCATTAATCATTTCAATTATTAACTAATAACCAATATTATGATTTCAACACTAAATACACTAAATTATTACGTTAATGGCATTAATTAATTCATAAACATTAACAATAATTTTTTATGTGTAGGAACATTTATATATTAAATTTCACTAAAATTCCCTAAAATTAACTAACGTCCAACTAATATTATTAAACTATAAACATGCACAATACGTTAATGGCATTTAATCCACAATACTAAAATTATCAACATCTTAATCTTATTAATAATACACATTTAACAATTCACTAAATTAAATAATATGAGCAAATCCAATAATTTGACCATACATATATAAACTCATTTGAATTAAATAATACTTACATTTAACTAATTAATATCATCTATAATTTAACTAATTTACGTAATTTTAATTAAATACAACTTAATTAACCCTATGTTTAAATTACACCTACGTTTAACTAATTTTAAGTAATTTATTTCGTTAATTAATTAACAACCTTTTTTTAAATGCATTTA